AGAAGGTGTTTACCTGAACAATACATATTTACCCAAATGCCTATTGGATGTCTCGACCTGGAATTCCCACAATGAATTTGCGTTAAGAGCCTCCAATGGATCTCAATACCTAAGTCCCAAGCCTGCCCCACCTGGAGTGTAACTGCTTCTGAGTTTAGGGCACCACCGTCCACACAAACCAGAAATATGGGGTAGGGGCAGGGCATGGGGGGCCCTCATGGTCCTTCCCACTTCTCCTTCATGCCTTAGGGCCTGGAGGACCCATCAATTCCACCAGTTAAAACTATCCCACCCTACCTGCTCACACTGCCCCTGCTCCGGTCCAGACCCTCGTTATCTCCCACCAGGGCTCTTACCTGGGTCTTCTCTGGTCTCTTTGCCCCAACTCCTGCCCCTCCAATGCACCTTTCATTCTTCATAGTGATCCTAATACCCAAACTGCTTAGCATGACATCAAAAATATTCTTGTGGATGACTGTAAGTGTACCCCTCACTGGCCTTCTCTCACCCTCATACTTTATACTCCATAAATAATAAACCACCTAGCAGTCCCCAAACAAACCATGCTAGTTCATATAATTATACTTTCTACGTGCTGGGAAGGTCTTGAGCGCTCTTTCAATTTGAATTTCCCTTTCCCTGTTACAAGGATAACTTCCTGAAAAAAACAAAACCCTACTTCCTTAGGTGTCTAGCATTCTAACATATCACTTTGTCCCTTATAAAGATTGTTGTTTATCAGGTGTCCCCCCCAGCCTAAGGCCCCTTCAGAAAAACACTTAGAGACTCCACGCTTCCACTACAGGTGGCTCAGGTTCCATCCCTGGTCAGGGAACTAAGATCCTACAATGCCACGTGGTGTGGGCAAAATAAATTTTTTTTAATTAAAAAAAAAAAAAAAGAACAACAGAGATACAACATATCACTGTGCTCACAGCTGGAGAGAAACACTAATGGAAAAAGGTCATACAGACACAATAGACAGGAAACCCAGAGGCAAGGAAAAGCAAAGATGATCAGAACCCCCAGGAAACAGACTCATGCTACCTGGGTGACAGGTGAAGATGATTACTTTTGGTCCTAGATTTATATCATTCTGTATAATGAAGCATAACTAGTGTCATCCCATTATGGTTAAGAGCATGGATCCAGAGCCAGACTGCCATGGTTTGAATCTTGTATCTGGTTACTTATCATCTGGGTCTTTGGGCAAGATCCTTACCCTTTCTGAGCCTCAGTTTCCTCACGTGAAAAATGGGTTGTTGTGGGAATGTAAAGAGTTAATACATGGAAAGCACTATGGCATACTGTAGGTGCCTAAAAGTGCTAGTTATTATGATGTTCATAAGGTGAAGTCAAAAAAGAACCTAAGGGCCTTCCCTGGTGGTGCAGTGGTTAAGAATCCACCTGCCAATGCAGGAGACAAGGGTTCGATCCCTGGTCCGGGAAGATCCCATATGCCGCAGAGCAACTAAGCCCATGCGCCACAACTACTGTGTCTGTGCTCTAGAGCCCGCGAGCCCCAACTACTGAGCCCGTGAGACCCAACTACTGAGCCCATGTACCACAACTACTGAGCCTGTGCTCTAGAGCCCACGAGCCACAACTACTGAGCTTGCAAGCCCCAACTACTGAGCCCACGTGCCACAACTACTGAGCCCAAGTCGCAACTACTGTAGCCCATGCACCTACGGCCCACGCTCTGCAACAAGAGAAGCCACTGCAATGAAAAGCTCGCGCACCCCAACGAAGAGTAGCCCCCGCTCACCACAACTAGAGAAAGCCCGTGTGCAGCAACGAAGACCCAACGCAGCCAAAAAAAAAAAAAAAAAAAACCTAAAATGTTCATATATTGGGGGGAAAAATTTATATCCGTAGATTAAGTCAGTCACAGGCTCAAATTCCAACTCTGAAATTTTAAACCATCTCTCCCTTTATCCCAAGATAACTCAAAGATCAAGTTCTTAGACCCCCCAACACAGATGCCTGAATCTTGGTTTCCTCAACTCCCTCTAACATGGGACTTAAACCATGAAGTTTTTGTAACTTCAATATGGCTACAGGACGAGTCCTGGAAACATGATTCTTCTTAGGTGTCCCGCTTTCCTCTCTTAAAGGTGATTAGGATAGTGCTTCCTCACCTTAGAAATGACTAATGAGAAATGAGAGATAATTAGGGTTTTCTACTTAATACTTTCACTAGGTTTCCTTAAGACTAAATAATAGAGTCCGCCTGCAGATGCAGGGGACGCGGGTTCATGCCCTGGTCCGGGAAGATCCCACATGCTGCAGACCGGCTGGGCCCGTGAGCCATGGCCGCTGAGCCTGCGCATCTGGAGCCTGTGCTCCGCAACGGGAGAGGCCACAGCAGTGAGAGGCCCGCGTACTGCAAAAAAAAAAAAAAAGAAAAAAGAAAAAGAAAAAGACTAAATAATAATAATACACAATAAACTAGGTTTCCTTAAGACTAAATAATAATAATACACAATAAACTCTCTACTTATAAACAATAAAAAGACCAATTAGAGCAAATGCCAGAGAAAATATGGGTACTGTGATATTTTATAGTATTTTACACTATTTTCACCTTTTGCTGTAAGCATTGACTTGTTACCCTTTTCCTTCCTATAAGCAGCTTTCACAATCTACCCTTCCCACCAGGATGGGGACTCAGGTAATAAGAGCCATGATTTATTGAGAACTTACTGAATGATAAGACTCGTGCAGACATTATTGTGGCTGGCTAAGAGCTGTCTCTCAAAATCCATTCTCCCCTTCTCCCACCATGGTGAGCCATATTTGACCATGTGGGTAAGGACATGGAGCAGCTGCCCCCAGTGCTGTGATTGGCGGAGCTGCCTCACCCACTTGGGTCCCTGGACAGCCCATGGAGCACAACCTGCCCTGCACAGTTACCAGAGAGGAACAAACTCCAACTGAAGGATCTTTTTGTTATAGCACCTAAGTATCTTAGTTAATCCCTAAATTACATGGGGAAAGAATGGTATTAGTAACTACTACCTCATAGGGTTACTGTGAGGATGAAATGAGAGGCTGAAGGTGGAGTGCTTACAATAAACATTTGTAGTACTATTATTACCCCCATTTTACAGATGAGGAAGTGGTAAGTCAAATGTCCAAGACCAGGGCTTCCCTGGTGGCGCAGTGGTTGAGAGTCCCCCTGCCGATGCAGGGGACACCGGTTCGTGCCCCGGTCCAGGAGGATCCCACATGCCGCGGAGCGGCTGGGCCCGTGAGCCATGGCCGCGGAGCCTGCGCGTCCGGAGCCTGTGCTCCGCAACGGGAGAGGCCACAACAGTGAGAGGCCCGCGTACCGCAAAAAAAAAAAAAAAAAAATGTCCAAGACCATACAGTTAATAATTGGTAAGTCAGGATCGGAACTCAGACATCCATCCCTGGAGCTGATTTTGTAATCCCCATGCTATTCTTCTTCAAGGAGTCTAAGATGAGATAATATTGGGCGAGGGGTCATACAGCGTGCAGATCAGAGGTTTGAAGTTCAGTCTGAATCCTGGCCTGCCACTCACTGCTAACGTGATCCTGGGAATACATGAAGGACCTGGCTGAGTCCCAGGGTTGTGCTCAGGAGAGCACCATAGTTGACAGCATGGACTGTGAAGGCCAATGGATGTCCAATTCCGCTCTGCTACTAACAGATTTGTGATTTACGCGCAAGGTCTGGTTTTCTCATGTGTGAAATGAGTGATGCCACCCATATCATGGGACTGTAGTGAAGGTTAAAGAAGGTAACATATACAAAGAACTCATGACAGAGCCAGGCACAGCTCAGCATTCAATAACGCAGGTATCAGGAGGAAGCAGGGGAGAGCTGGGACCTCCTGCCCCTCCTCTACCTGCTCCACCACTTCTATTTTGTGGACACTGAGAATCATAACCAACATTTGTGCAACTTTCCACCCTGGAGAACAGCACATCATCATCTCTTCACCACAAGCCTGGGAGGGAGCTAAAGGCAGGAATGATTATAATTCTCACTTGGCAGATAGGAAACTGAGGCACAGTATTCCCATGGTCACGTTCGCGGTGAGTGGCAGGCCAGGATTCAGACTGAGCTCATAACCTCTGATCCGCACGCTGTATGGCCCCTCACTCAGCTACCTCTCCTCCCAAAACGTTCCAGGTCAGAGAGAGAAGTGTTTTCTCCATGAATGAACGAATGAATACACTTTAAATTTTTAAAATTAACTTGACAAATGAAAAGAGGGTGACAATCGTACAAAGGTTAAACCTAGGTCCCACCTTGCCGTAGCTTTGGATCCTTGACCCACAGACTGAGGGACCTGTGGGTCCCTCAGTTTCCCAATCATTAAGATAAGGATTCACCCCCTTTGCAAGATTCCGTGGGCATCAAATAAAGCACTGTGTAGCTGGCACATATTAGGTTTCTATAAACAGAAAAAAACAAAACCAAACAACAACCGCTAATGGTTGTTTCTGGAGCAATTCAATACCTGCCAGGCACTGAGGAAGACTCTACCGCGGGGCGGGGCGGGGCAGCAGTCGTCTGGGGAAGTGAAAGAGGAGCCCGTTTGGCCGATTAGAGAAATGAGCTGCCAAGAACCGGCA